AAAAGAAGGAACAACATTAGAAAGACCAAATGTAAGGAAGACACATTAGAGGAAGGTGAAACAAAGAAGACAATGAATGACAGATAGAGGCGATGAAAGACAAAAGGAGGAAGGGACGAGAACAAGGAAGTACAAAATGAAGTAAGAACAAAGTCCCAAAACGCAAATACTTTTCCGAACCACTTTTTCATTTTCTGTATGAATGCAGACCCTGAAAAGACTACAATTAAATTCCAAACTGTATAGGAATCCTGTAAAGTACCTGGTTGCCAAGGATAATAAAACGTATTACTTGAAAGTTGAGTGGAAGGAAAAAGTCTAGTAGAAAGATAATGCAAAACCAAGAGGGCAAGCTGAACCAATTAAAAGGATTATTAAGAAAAGTCCTTACTTTAGGGGGGATAAAATAAAAAGTGTAAACTACCAGTGGAGTCAGAGGTTGAATGGAAAGTTGAAAACAAACTGCCTTTCAATTGGAAATAAAAAAAATCTAAAGAAGAGTCAAACGTCTATCAAAAGACTGTAGGTTATAAGAAGAACATATGTACTGCAAAGAGGGTCCGTTTATTTTTCTTTCAAGCTGGTTATTGTAACGGGGGCCATGAGAAGCACCTCGGGTCTGTTGGGTCCTGGCAGATTAAAAGCTGCTGTTGTCTGATCTTCAGGGAGCGGCGGTGATCTTCTGAGCATTGAGCTGTTGTCTCTTTACCACCTCTGGTTTTTCGGGTTAGGGTTTATACATGGTATAAACCTACATGGCTCCTTTATTAGTAGCAAACAAATTGAACCTGTAATTGTTCAATAAAAAACATTTTAATTAGACTGTTTCCTCATTCGTTCTCTTCTTTAAATATTAAAGCCATACTGTAACAGTAATAACATTATTTATTTCTATATTCCTCTTTTATAATCTTATATTCTTAAAAACATTCTTGTATTTTTTGTACTATCTGAAAAGTACAATTATCAAATATGATATGTATAGTGAAAGTAATCCATAAAAAATATGAGTAACATTTTTCTAATAACATTTTTGATTACATTTTTAATAATTCATATTAATGCATCTGCATTTTATAATCTTAAGTATTCTTTGTTTTTGTTTTTCTAGAAAACTTTAGTTATATATAGTTAAATAAATATATTTCACTTTATATACTCAGATTTACATTGAAATACATGTTCTATGTTTATATTTAGACTGATAAAACAACTAGAAATAAGAGTTCAATCCCACTAAACATGTTACAAAACTGATTTATAAAGATAGAAATGAATCAGCTAGAATCCGTTTTTTCCAATGGATGTTGTTTTCTTCAAAAAATAACTTTCTGCTTTGTTTACATATCCTAATCCCTTAGATATCACAGGCTGTGTGGTTGTGGTTTAGTGCGTTTCTACTGGCGGATGCTTCTAATGAGCGATCCTTCGCTTCCAGCGCTCCCAGTATCAAACGTCTCCTTCCACTCCACTCGTTTACCCGGGGACTGATTCTCTATGAAGTCAAAGCTCCTGCTTGTTCCAGTGCTGCGGCTTCAAACGCCGACGTGCCTTTTGGGGCTTCTCACATATCTGCTCTCTTCCTTTTTCCTCTCCCCCTTTTCTTCCTATTTTTCTCTACTTTTTGTTTCCCTTTTCAAGTCTTCCCAGGTGTCTTTGTCTTCTCCCCCTTTCTTCTTTCAAGTCAAGACAGGTGGGAGCAAACAGGCTGGCAGTATCCCTCTCCTTTTTATCCTCTTCTTTTCTCTCTGTGGCTGCTCTCCCTCTATCTCTCTCTTTCTATCTCTCTGTTCCACCAAATTGAGCTGGGAAAACTCCTTGATCTACCATTTTCAAGGAGAGAAGCTGACTTTGTTGTTTTTTTTTTGCACACAAAAACAAATCCTAGTGGCTGTGGCCTGCTATGCATGCAATGTCTTTAAAAAGGGATAATATGGTAACATGCCAGCTTTTTTACACATTAAAAACAATGATCCAACAAAAATGAACAGTAACCCATCTCAAAAAGGTATGGTTGTGCCAATAGTCCTGGATTTCGGTTCTATATATATATAGAATCCGGGAATAATCTGGATCTAAGTGTATTCTGATTACCCGATCCTGAACTGTTCTGCCTTTGGACCTCTGAGCCTACCTGTTCTGATCTGTTTGCCTGACCTGTCTTTGGACTGCTGTTGGATTCTGCCTGTTTAACAAACCTACAACTAATTCATGACATCGCCATGGATTTCCCTTTGGTACCTCTTCGAATCTCTGATCTCCTAGCCTGAACTCCTGAGCATCTCTTCGACACCACATCGCTCTCTGGATTGTCTTGCCTTCCTTCATCTGCTCGAATCTGATCTCCTGCCTGTTCTCCGGCCTCCGGGACTTCAACGTCTGGGACTCTTTGGGCAGCATCCACCGCTGGAACCAACCCCGTCCTCTGGGCACGAACTGAACTTTGAGATCAGAGGGTCCTGCCTTAGACGCACTAGCTGTTCACTGCAGATCTGTTACTTTTAATAAATGCTTTTTTGAGATATCAAAGTGTCTGTCTGCTTTGAAAACTGAGTTCCTCTGTTCTGAGCCTTGACAAGATGATTTTATTTTTTAGCATCACAGTGAGACCAAGAAAAATAGAAATCGACATAAGAATGATTTTATGAGAGGAACCTTAAAGTTTAAAACAAAAGACGCAAAAAAAATGGTGGCGTTAATTAAAGACGGGATAAAATATCCTCCTAGTCTGGTAGAACATAACATTCTGCATGGTACAGTGGACAGATATTGTTAAGTAAAGATATGAGATGCTGACTTCAAACCTCTTATCTCCATGCAAATTATGTTTTGATGAAGCAAAAAAAAAAAATTTAAATATAAGAAACAATAATTCAGATAACAATATCAAATATGATCCCATTTGCTTTATAAGTAAAAAATAGTTTTCCTTATTTTCTTTTGTTATTCTTGTGGGATTTCTGTCCTGATCTTGTTTGAATCAAACTGTGATCTTGGGCGGACGGTAAATGACTCAGAAGATGGGAAATAGTGCAGAAAACCAAGGAGCAACAACTGCATTGGGAGAGCCCTCAGTGATGGTCACAGAAAGCTGTTATCCACAACATCAATGCTTTCATGTTTAATTCAGGTGCTTTAGTAAATTGAGTTTGTCATCTGGACAGAATTTTATATATATATATATACATATGACAACCTCATTTGCATATTGTCTTTATTCATCATGACTGAGCCTTTTCATGTACAATTATTAGGAAAGAATTTGGTGTGCAAAGCTGGTAGAAACATAAACCTGTAAAATCGCCAACTGTGACTGCAGCAACAGGTGCCTCTATAAAGTACAGATGTAGGGAAGCTGAATTCATGTGCTGCAGTGACAGACTTGGTTACATCACAAAGGTCTAATCCAGCTTTTATTGCTTACTGCAGTGTGTGCTCTCCTGGAGCAGTTCTGCACGCCGCACACAGCCCCATGCAGGCTCACACAACTTTTGAGTTGTCCAGATGATACTCACATCGTCAAGTTAACTTTTTGCTGAATTCATTAGTGTACACCAGACTATTCAGACAGCTATTTTTTTTTTTTTTTTTTACATTTTATTCCATTTAATGTTTGTCAAAAATGATATGTATATGCAATGTATCAAAATATGAAAGATAAGTAAATAGTAAAGTCATATCAACAAATCAAATTTTATGAATTGTAATTTTTTTACACTATTTACCAAATTCTTTGTTCTGCTTATTTTGCATAAAAGTCCACTACACATCACCCCCCTTTCTTTACAGATAAACAGAACTTGTGTTAAAAACCCTGAATTTGAAGCAAGGCATATTTCCAAGTTCAAAAATGAGCAACATATTGCTGCATGGTTTATCTTAGTCTTTGTAGGACTACAAAGACTAAGATGAAGCTTTTAACTGATGAATAGAAACAGGATCTGATAAATGAATAAATTCAAGATATTTTTCTTTTCTAACGTATTTATATTTACAATGCAAAAGCTAAGAAATCCTTCTAAAGGAAATTCTGTTTAAGCCATGAAGAAGAATCTCTGAAACGGGCCACATTTAATAATAAAACAATCTGAGGAAAGCTATAATTGAACAGTGAGTGGTCAAAGAGCAGATTTGGTCCTCAAGGAGGACTGAGTTAATTTATGAGTAAAAATCCTATTACTACTTGTCTGGTGGCACAAAGCCATTAAAAATAAACAGAGGGGAAAAACATCGGCTTTAAATGAAATACAGTGTGTGAGCGAGAAAAGACTTTCCTTCCCTTTTTTATTACTCCCTTCTTAAATCATCCCAATTACATAGCTAATTTTAGCCTCCAGTTTTTCTTTGTACCTTTCCAACGAATGCGGCTCAACACAAAGGGGCTTAGTATAACAGGCAGAGGTCTAACTTCCTCACATCTAAAAAAAATTATGCAAGTTTATGTGTGTGTGTGCGTGTGAAACACAAAGAAAAAGACCAAGAGATGTAACAACGTGCTTTCCCCCAAAAATGTGTGAGAGACGTGAAGACGGCAGCTTGCATGAAAATCCCCACATTTGTGATCGAGCGAGTGAGCCTGGTGCATTATGTTGTGGCATGTTTCAGAGCATACACAACTGCCAAAATGTCATTCCAGTAACACAACGATCATCAAAGCCCACGCTATCTATCCTAAAGACCATCTAGTGATATTCATAAAGAGCATAGCAGATAACAGCCTTGTCATGTTAGCTTCTCTATAATCCAGACGCGCAAGCTTTCATCTCAACCAGCTTGTGTGTGTGTGTGTGTGTGTTAGTGTGAGAGAGATACAGAGAGAAGATGATCATATATGCTCCTGTTGTTAAAGCCTTTTTCTCAGAGATCAGAGTAATGTTAAAATAACAGTGCACCAGCAGGGGACAACACAGCATCATCTAGTGTTGCAGTCAAGACCACACCAACCGAGACCCAGGAATACCAAGACAAGGCCAAGACCTTTAGAGGCCAAGACCAAGAAAAAGGCCTTTAGAGACCAAGACCAAGATATTTAGAAGCCAAGACCAGGGCCAAGGCATTTATAGGCAGAGACCAAGACAAGACTAAGACCTTTAGACACCAACACCAAGAACAAGACCTTCAGAGGCAGAGACCAAGACCAAGACATTTAGAGCCCAAGACCAAGAACAAGACATTTAGAGGCCAAGAACAAGACAGTTAGAGGCTGAGACCAAGACCAAGAATAAGACATTTAGAAGCCGAGACCAAGACAAGACCAAAACATTTAGAGGTCGAGACAAGGACCTTATATGGTCTTGTTCTTGGTCTTAGCCTCTAAAGATCTTGGCCTTGTCTCGGTACTCCTTGGTCTTGGTTAGTGTGGTCTAGACTACAACACTAGCACCATCACCAGAATAACTTTGAAACCATTCCACATGTTTGCACACTTTGCCAACATACACACCTAAATTGATCAAGCATACAAAGACCACCGCAGGCATGTATAGCATGAACAAGCAGTGTTTCCAGCAGATGTAGTAAAGTCATTTGAGGTAGTTGAGCTATTGCAGCACAGCCTGAAACTAATTACCTTTGGGAAACCAACATCACACTAGTAGCAAAACTAGGTAGGCTACATGTGTGTTAGAGTGTGTTGTTTGACACAAGAAACAACAAGATTCTTGACAGTTGAAATTTTTGTAGTTCTATAGCCTCAAACATATATAGAAGATGGCAGTCAATGTCTTGATTTTTAAATCCATTAAAGTCTATAACTCAATGACATTGTCAAAGTTTAAAAAGTGCCTTGAAATGACGTGTTGTGATTTGGCACTATATTAATAAACTCAATTGAAATTGAACATTTATCTACTTTCTTCTTCAACAGAATAATGTATTTTACCTAATAACCAAACCAGTTGTTTAAGTGCGGGTTTCTGGGTTAGCAATAAAACTAAAAAGGTTTATTTGATGTTTTTATTTCTAACAGAATGATAGCATACTATGTCCTATTTGGTGATGATACTGTTTGGTGTAGACCATATTACTGTTTTGGCTTATTTAGGCAGCAGGAGACTAAAAAAGAGCACACCATGAGGCAGATCAAAAACGTACAACAAGAGTTTTACTCTTGTGTTCCATTTCAACGTTCAACTTCGAATATATCCGGATCCGGAGGTTATGGAAAAAAAAAGTTTTCTTACCTTCTGTAATCGTTGTTTTGCAAATCACTAAAACCCTGTTTTAAAGTGACTGGTTGTTTCATATATTGCGATGTATTAAACAGAACTAGGAACCTTATTAAAATGAGTAGACAAAGACATAACAAATTATAGATTAATTAATCAATAAATTAAGAATGACTGAAAATTTACGCTTAGAGGGTAGCCCTACAAGTCTTGATATCTTGTCATTTACATGAAGATACATGAAAAAAAGGAAGTAAAGTTACAAGACTACCATTTGAGTGAGATATATATGTCTTTTTAAAACTGTGTTTTTCCTACTCTATGGCTCTATCAGTGGAGCATTTTCCATAAGAGATAATTAGCAGAAACATCCAACTCAGTAAAATCAATAGCTTGTTACTATGGCCTAATGTAGTTTGCTGAGAAAGCTGACAAAGACATAATGCATACAAAGCGGATGAGATTCAGTCAGGACCAGTGGTTAAGCATTGCCTTTTCTCCACTGCCATTCAAAAGCCTGGGGTCTCTGAAAGCTTGGCAATGGTTTCCATATACATCTACCCTGATATTTTCACTTTCACTGGGCGTTGCTTTGGCCCTATGACATAGCTAGGACTTTATAGATTTCACCAGGGCTTTCATGCAGCTGCAGTGCTGTGTTCCACCATGACAAACTAAAAATATAAATGTTTCTTTCTATATACCTTTAGTTTTTATTAAATAGGTTTCTCTGTCTTTATTCTGTGTCAAAGCCTGGGTCTTCACAATTAATATCCATAACTTTGGTCAGTCGACTATTACCAATTATAATTTTAGCACCCTGACCCTAACCCTAAGATATAAAACAGCAAGAAACGTAGTTAGAGACATGAATAAGTGATGATTGCACTGTTTTTCCCAGTTTTACGTCCGTCCGCGGATCTGCTTTTTTTTTCTGTCTGCGAGCGCATGCGCACTGATGTGTTTTTTTGAGGAAAAACGTCCAAAACGTACGAAATAGTGTGCATAACTTTTCGTATGATTTGATACGAACTGATAATGAGAATATGTTGCAATGCTGAAGTGTTTAATGCATTAAAAACAGTGATGCTTATAAGTGTAAGTTAAAGCAAAGTCTAATTTTAACCACCTCCTGTAAACATATAGTAAAAAGAGAAAGTATTTTGAAAAAGCGACTGGACAGGTTTAAAAGAAGGTAAGTGCTGCTCAGGACAACAAATCAAGCAACCACCG